TGGTGGACAAAAACCTGACATTCAAGCAGGAAAGTGTTCGTTTCCTATGTGAAACAGAAGGTCAGTATTGATTCCTTTTAGTGACATTACGTTAGTAGCGTTACTTAAATTACATTATTTAAGTCACGTAAGTTATTTTAAGCCAAACCATGATCTTTCCCTAAACCTAACCAAAGTAGTTTTGTTAACCACGTGCTGTTTCACAACATTAACCACTAGTTTTATTTTTGAAAGTGTAACCGGAAGTTAGCATATTTATTATTATTATATTTATTAACTTGACCAGATTTTGCATAGTTATTTTTGCTAACTTAACCGTGGAGCCCTGCACATACAAAAACAACGCTAAAGGATATGACAAAGCATCCATATGTGACTCCCTGGGATGAGAACAGGTTGGCTCCAGAATCTCTCTAACAGATTAGGGAAAAATATGATGAAACTACAGAGCGTTTGCTCTGCAGGTGGTATTTTTAAAATACAAATTTCATCAGTTTTTTTTATTAATTAAATTAGTACCAACAGTTTTAAAAACTAAAATAATGTGAAAAATGAGTGTAAAATAATAGTCTGCACTCTTTGTTGAGACTGCACAGAGGCTCTGATGGATGTAAAAACTGAAAAGACATTGAGAGGGATGATGAGCTAGAAGTTCATGTTCCTGTAGGTCTGTGTCCTTGGGCAACACTATACTTGCGTTGTCATATACTCCTTTTTCTTCCTGTTTTTCTCCATCCGACACACTGGAAACTCCTGTTCTTCCTCATCTCACCTTCCTCTCCTCCCCTCTCTCTCTCAACAGCTTTGTTTTTTTTCTCTCTTTAATATACGGATGAAAGAGCTCTATAGAACTCTGATGTGTTCCTCTGAAATAGGCCCCAGGCCACTCCTTTATATGCACGCATACACACACACTGAACACAACCAACCTCTGTGCATTTAAACACTATACCAACCTACAAACACACTGAAGGTACACAGTAGTTGTACATCCGCCCACACATATACCCAAACAATAAAAACAAAGATCTTAATCATACATGTGAAAAACATTGTATATGCATATTTGCACACACACTTGCATGTGAAGAAGTGTGCACACAGAGCCATGCAGGAACTTGTTCACACACACACACACACGCTCACACACATAGATTGCAGCCAGCACACACCCTATTCTCTGTACATCTGTGTAAATACATTAACTTTGAAGTGTGAGAGGAGGGTGTGTTTTTATCAATCCATGACGATCCTTGGTTGGCCTTTTCAGGAAATATGTGCTTTCTTGGACAGAGTTAGATGTCAAGTTTGCTGTGGTGAAAAGTAACTAAGTACATTTACTCAAATACTTGCAATACAATTTTGAGGTACTAGTTTAGAGTATTCTATATTTCCACAACATTTCAGAGGCAAGTATTTTTATGTTTTACTCCACTACATTTATTTTAAAGTTATAGTTACTAGTTACTAGCGACTAGGATTCTACTAGTTTGGACTTGTTGAACCAGTTTATAAAGTATGATGCATTATTATAGATTAAACTACCAAACACTATATGAAGCAGATTTCAAAAATTGATTCAGTGTTGTATAGGGGGAAATCACTGTAGCTTGTTTTACAGTTTCTAAAGGGTGTTCATGTAACAAAAATAATTTTTTGCACTTGAATGCACCACAAATCCAGCTACTGCCAAACAGGCAATGGGAAGGTGTGACATTGCAGGGGCACGAGACCTAGTCCCCAAAGTTTGGTGTAACTGTTATTATCGCTGGCTACTGGTATAGTGGAAGCTGCAGTGATGCTGACAGTAACGTGTCATCTCTGATGCAAATCCCAAAAGGATGCAGTAAACTCAACCTATTGTTTCCATGATTATGCTGACATTAGATTGTGAACAGCAAGTCTGTGTTTAAATCATAGAAATCCTCATCTCTGTGAACTCCTACACACACGGAGCAAAGTCAGTGGTCAGCAGAGCACAGAGGCCATGGTGGAGGCAGTGAAGTGAACCAGGTGAACAACATATCTTTATACATAGGGCTGTCACCGACTAAGGATTTACATAGTCAAATCAGAATCGTCAAGTCCTGCCTAGTCGAAAAAATGTGTGTTTTGTGCGCGGAGATAGCGAGCCGGAGGTGGGGGGGGGGGGGTTGCACATGGTAGCACTTTAAATTTCCAGCCAAACTGAGACTTTTTGAAGACCCTTTTCTCTCTCTCTCATCTGTCATTCACTGGTCTTGTGCAGAGTTTTGCGTGCATTGCATGCTGCCAACAACTGCGTGTATGTCGCGGTTCATCAACGGTGATAAATTATGGGGCTCGGTCTTTTCAGTAAGTGTTCCTCTTCTGCCACTACACACACACACATGCTACGCCTACACATGCGTACTGACGACACAGGATTAGGGTTACAATTTTGGATTTATTTACTCACTTTAAAAACATTTATTGAAAGTTTCATTCTTTTTACATGTTTATTTAGAGCATTAAACGTGGAAATGTGTATTTTAATAGGCTGTATATTAACTTATTGGGAGAAAACTGGTAGTTCTGTCAGATCATACATTGAGCACCTCCATGTGAGATTGACAGTCAAATCAGGCTCCACGCATCAAAGCATCAAATGTTCTTATCTAATCCTGTTTTGAATTTATTCAAGTTAATGTAATATTAATCTTGTTTGTTTGACAATTCATGTGTTTATTGTTGTTGTTGGACAGGAGACAGCATCGGAGCAGAGAATAGTAGAAAATGTTTTTGGCAGCTGAATAAGCAGTGTCATCAAGTTTTGTATATTTAAAATGTTTTTTATATTTTGTATATAGCTGTCGTGATAGTAAAATATTTAAATACATATTTAAAACATAAAATGTTGAAATCTGTGAATGTAATCCCCCCACTTGATTGACAAGCCCTCAGGGCAGCTCTACTTCTTTGTCCACAAACCCCTGTCTCTGTTGTCAAAGCTGTGTGTTTTGTATGCCCAACCTGAGCTGTGGATGACTTAGCTGTCGTATAAGAATGAATGGAACAAAACATTGCCAGTGAACATATTCCAAACAACAATTACATTTCCTCCAAAACACATGTGCCAGTGTTGTCTAAACTTACTTCATGGGAAACAGGGTTATATAGTAGCTTGTTTTGATTTTTCCAAAGTAATGTTGAAAGATTTACTACCCAAAGAATTGACAGAACTTTTACTGCTGGACCATCTCTGGGTGTGCTCTCATGCCTGGAGGATTGGAGTTTTTTTTGTATCTACCAGAGTGACCCTGAATATTTAGGCTTGATATTTATTGTCACTGTTTATTTTCAGCTGTTTTCTTCTTCTTCTGCCTCCACATTTACCATAGAAGGCCACAGTGAGCTGAAGTCTTAGGACCTCTTAAATCTTGTTTAGACAGACAGACTTTCCTGCCACATGAATAGACACATACAGTTACATAGATGCAAGTGCAAATACACAGCCACAATCACAAAAACATGCACATACACACACTGCCCACAAACATACACACATTCACAAACAATTACTGGAAATGCATCAAAATATGCATCCATGCTCTCACACTCCCACATGATAAATCAAGCAGAATCTGAACCCATGCACTAAAGTTCATTCTCTGCTCTCCAGACAAGAAACATTTAGAGCTAAATGTTGTTTAAATTATGTTTTATGGCCAAGAAATGGTTTGCAGGCCTCATCGCTGACTCGTAGGTGAATTTCATCTACCACGCTGAGGTCATCATTAAACAATGAATTAATTTTTCTCATCATTTTAGATCCAGAAAACCGAGCTCAGCTCCATTATGTCATGATAGGATCCAGCTTTTTGCACAGCACCTTTAACTTTTGTCCGATAAAGTAACTGCACCTATTATCGATGAGGTAATCTAGGTATTTTATGGTGGGTGAATCTGAAATGATGTCTAATCTTCAAATAATCCCCGCATGTTAGATATTAATTCTCTTTTCCATCAGCATTGTTTCAAAAATGTTAAGGGCACCTGGGGTCACCTAGACTGATGAAAAAGTTCAGTTCAGTTCTGTAAATTAAATAAAAATAAAAGCATTAATCACCCCCATTCTCAGTTTGTACCCACTGTATGCCTGACTGTGAAAGTATTAAAAATATGAATCAAGAAAGCAAATATAGCTTCCTGTGCAGATGAGAAAATACCACAATTAAAACACACACTGAGCATTAAATATAAAGCTGGAGCCAGGAGGTGTTTCGTTAGCTTAGCATAAAGACTGGAAGCCAGGAAACAGCTAGCCTGGCTCACTTTAAAGCTCAAACAGCCACCTACCAGCACTTTACAAGCTCACTAACACTTTGTATCTTGTTTGTTTAATTTGTACAGAAGCTCCATGGGGAAAAGGACAAAATTATGAGGAGTTACATGCTGGAACTATCTTTGCGCAGTGACTTCCTCAACGTCATGCTCCCAACAAGACTCCAGGAAGTTAATTAGTAAATTTTAGATATGCTAATAGGTGTACATTTTAGCTTTAGAGGAAGACAGGCTAGCTGTTTCCCCTACTTCGAGTCTTTATGCTACGCAAAGCTAGTCAACTCCCAGCTGCATTTGCATTGCCCAAAATGCTGAACTACTCTTTTAAGGAATTCATGTGCTTTTTGGTACTTAAGAACAAACAGTGAAGATAGTAATCAAAAGATAGGCTAAATAGAGCAATGGTGCTACAGTAGAAGCATGGTAGCATGTAGCAAAGGAGAAGGCATTTTTGGTTCTTTCAAGTCTGGATTAATTTATCTACTGCTGACATAGAGAAAGGGCATCTTTTTTTTACTGCCGTTTAACCTGAAATTATTATTTTTTCACACAACTGCTCCAAAGCAAGCCGCAGCCAGTACAACTTAGTTAAGTCAATGTAAAGGTTCCTTATGCTGCAGTGTCTGTGGTTGCTGGCTAACAAAAGAATCCTGTATTACATGATCATGTCAATCAATTACATCAACCCTGCTAATGTCTTAGTTGACACAGTGATCATTTATTGATGTTAAAGAACAAAAAGCACGTTTATCATGAGTTAGTCTCTCATATGGTGCATCTACATCCTGGTGAGAAGTTGGTTGACCGTGAGGCTTGCCTCCCCATCCTCCATCCCTGACTCCTCTACTAGGACCTTCCTCTGAAACTCCTGCAGGAGGAAGCGTGAAGAAAGGAAGAGAAAAATTTAACAATGGAACAGTTAGCCTTTTAAATAGTCTATACCCTCCCCTTAATAGTGTGCTGTATGGTCAAAGAATGAAGCCAAAATATCTTTGGTCAGCAAACATTAGGACTGATAGAGAGTCACTTGATCAACGGGAAAGAAACATCATTTTTAGCCCCTCCCACAGTATTTGATTGACAGGCGGACTCATTGAGGTTTTGAAGTATTCACTTCACCAAGTATGTATTAGTTTCAAGAGCTTTAGACAAGGCTCTTTAACCAGCGCGCTGATCAATGACCTTGAACCCTGACCTCTCTGTAACTTAAGAATGACGTCCAGGAAGCCCCAGTTTCTGATAGATAGCTTGCCTCGGATCTTTAAAAAAAACTTTTGTATTCTGCAGGAGCTTTGAAACATTAGAAGCCTTGTGGCTGCTGAAGCCCTCACACTATGGTGTTAGATCTCCTACTTTTACAGTAAGCATTAGCACGTCAAATATGCTAACAACAGCAGCTGCCTAATATGTCAGCTGCACATTAGACATCAACCGTCCAAGTCTTCAGCTAAGTTTCAGATTATGTTTTGTGTGTGTGTCATTCTCACCCTGAATCTCCTCAGTCTTGCCAGTCTGTCTTGCAGTGTCTTCTCCTGGCTGGAGGTCAGCTCTGCAATGTGAGTCCGCCACTGCTGCTCTTTCTCCTGACACATGAGGGGATTTGCACAATTAAGAGCAACTCTACACCACAAGACTGAACACCAAGATGCACTTTTAAAGCTGCACTAATCAATATTTTCATATTAACTGTCAAACAAAAATCCACATGCATTTGCCAAGCTGACTAATATGTAATATGACTGGTCAGTATCTCAGTTGCTCATCTTGGTTTAGAAATGGCAGTTCTGGAGTTTCTTGGGTTGAGTTAAACAAACTAGATTTGTTATTGCATCAAATATAAATTATATTAACAATATATACTTTCAAATATACTCATCATATAAAGCTTTAACAATAATATGTTGGACTGAACTCTTTATACAGCACAACATATATAACATCCATATTAAAAAAGTATCAGAACTCCATTTCACAGCTGCAAACCAGCTTTGAAAAAAATTGAAAAGAAAACCCACAGTTCCCCACACTGAATCCTCTGTAATATCTTAAAGCTTTCTAGGATTATTTTGAAGGTTACAAAGTTCCCCTGGTACAATAATATAACAGTGCATACAATCTGCTGGGGCCGCACCTCTGAGCTTCAAGTAGGCTTGTTCGTGTGTGTGTGTGTGTGTGTGTGTGTGTGTGTGTGTGTGTGTGTGTGTGTGTGTGTGTGTGTGTGTGTGTGTGTGTGTGTGTGTGTGTGTGTGTGTGTGTGTGTGTGTAGAGGTGTGTGTGTGTGAGAGTCATGAGAAGTGCTGGGCCTGCTGGATATGCATCCCTGACCTCAAATTGGACTCTCTTGGATCCAGTTTCCTGCTGTGTGTTTGTGTGTGTTTCTATGTATAATTTTCATGTGGGTGAGCAAGAAAAACTGAAATCTTTCAGATGTTTTTGAAAGATTTTAAACAGTTTGGATGGGATACATGATGAGAGGGGGGAGGGCAGTTGCTCTCAACGGACAGCGCCTGTCATTAATTAACATTTCTTTCATGATGCGTGTGTGTGTGTGTGTGTATGTCGGGGGAGCAGTAATGTGCAAAGGAAGTTGATGTGAGCAAGGGAGGCATTTAGTTTAATGTCAGTCAGTTTAAAGAGGAAGCCTTGCTGACACATATAGAGTGAAGGTCAACACAGTTAAACCGTTACCTCCCCAGTTACATGATGATCGCACACGCATACAGGCGAACAATCAGGTCTTTCTTTCCAAAAAGGCCTTGAGTTGAAATTGAGCATTTGGACTTTTATTTATTTATTTTTTATTGAACCTTTATTGAACCAGGTGACACCAGGTGTTGAATTATTACTTTTATCATGTTCTATACACACTTGTTCATCTTCATGGTGTGTGAAGTGGGAGGATCACTCTGAACAAAGTGCCTTAAATTTGCGATCACTGACAAATTGCCTTTAATACTTCTTTTCTGACTCCGGTCCAATCACAACATCATGGTGGCTATTTGCCATCTGGCCAGTGGTGTTGGTTGTGGAGTTGAGTGTCAGTGTGCAGAGCAGGCCAAAAATACATAAACTGTCAGCAGAGGTGTGAAAATGTCCCACCAGAGCCATGGACACATGATTTACTATATGAACCCAGTGTTCCATGCTGAGGAAATTCTTATACTTTTATAATACTTATTTACTAGTCTTCTGCAATTTAGACTAAATATCTAATGAGCCCAGCTCCAGTTTAAGTGCAGCTAATTATGTAATACTGGGCTGTTTAAGATGCACAGGAAAAGTGCATAGGAAAATGTTTATCGCTGAATCTAAAATGTTTTTTTGAAGAGAAGAGACTTTTTGAACTTTAATAGTGCATTCAGACAGAGCAGGGCTACATGTGAGGAAACAGATGTGAAACAGCCTGGTGAGATATTTCAGTCTGGACAAAATCGGTGGACCTATTGAGTGACCAACAGACCAGCACTGACAGCCACCCAATCTTAGAGGTGGACATAAGTATTTATATGGCTGCTTTAGTCACACTGGACCTGTAGTGAGGCATTCAGAGTCAGGAATTTAATACACTCAAACAAAAGACAATCTACAGACAAATTCCAAAGACTTAATTAGTGGAGACTGGTGTAAGCATGTAAGGATGCCCAGAAGGCTTTGAGCATTCTTTGTAACTCAGCTCAGTGTCGACCGTTGCGTCAACAGTGTCGACCGATTGAAGTGGAGGAATGAAACTGCACATGTATTCTTATTAAACTGCAATGTTATGGTAGAAACATTACAGTGTGTTTCTGGAATTCCTCTGGCTCGACTGTGGCGTTCCAGCAGTGTGTGTGTGAGAGACTGTATCCAGAGTAATGCCTGTGCAAAAGTGACATTCTGTGTGTGTGTGTGTGTGTGTGTGTGTGTGTGTGTGTGTGTGTGTATCTGTCCATGTTTAGGCTGCTTGTATACATCTACTATACCTGCATAAGTGTGTGTGTGTGTGTGTGTGTGTGCAAATTTCAATGGTCATGAAGTCTGTGTGTTTGTGTGTGCCTCTGAGGTTAAGTTAGGGTTCAGTGGAAAGTACATTCCATACTGAGGTGAGAGTAAATGTCCTCTCTATCAGGGTAAATGTTGTCAGCTTCCTGCCTTTCTGAGTGTGTGTGTGTGTGTGTGTGTGTGTGTGCGTGTGTGTGCGCGCGCGCAGCGGAAACACTGACAACGACAGCCCACGTCCCTTGTTGACCTCACACACTCTTGTCAGAAACGGGGCGGCTGCTCGAAGCACCCACAGCTGTTTTGCCTGTGTGTGTGTGTGTGTGTGCATTCCATGTCCATTAGGATGTCCATTTGTTTTGGCAACGGTGTGTTTGTGTTTTTGAACTACTACACCACTACTACAAACTACTTTTTAAAACTGAAAAACTGCTGCTATTAAATGCGATGCAACATGTGTGTGTATCTATGTTTAGCTCAATGAAGTGTGAGTGATGTTGGAAGCGACTGATAAGCCCGGTAGCCTTTACAGCGTTCCAGAGTTGTGTTTCCATGGAAGTGAATTTGATTTTGCCATGAGCGATGAAGTGAACCTTGGTGGTAAATTAACACTCATCGATCCAGCATCACACTACTGCCTGTCTGCCTGATTGGTCAGCCCCCTGTTTCCATTAGGCTGATTATAACAGCCTGGGCTCATGAAATGTTAAGTACACCGTCTTAAAATTTGAATAACGAGCTCCGTTCACAGAAAGGATTAACCAGAGGAAACACAAACAGAAAGCTGTTTTGACATTTGCTAATTGCTAATAGTTTAAGAAGAAAAATTGGTCCTTGGTTCAAATCTGGCCCAGGTGATGCTGATAAATACAAGGACAAATCAAGGGCTAAAATCCAAAAAGTATTTTCTTCCCTTAAGACTTTGGCTTCCAGCAAATAGTGCTCAGAGCCAGGAAAATCTGTATATTGCTTGGCTGCTGGGTGACGACTGGTTGACTGTGTGTGTGTGTGTGTGTGTGTGTGTGTGTGTGTGTGTGTGTGTGTGTGTGTGTGTGTGTGTGTGTGTGTGTGTTTGGTGTGTGTTTGGGTGAGAGCAAAAATCTGCATGCATGCTTTGGCAAGAGTTTGTCCTCGGGAGAATCAAATGAGAGCCGTTGAGGTTGAACTGGTGTCATTTCCTATAAGCCTAAGAGGCTGTTTGGTTTCACAGATGTACAGACTTGTAGAGTGTGTATCATCTTAGTGTGTGCACGTGTGTGTGCATGTGTGTGTGTATGTGTGTGTGTGTGTGTCCACACCTTCTTGCTCTCTTCCATTTCTTGCAGTCTCTTTTTTTCCTGCTGCTCCCTCTCCAGTCTCCAGCGGACCTGAAACACATACACATATGCTGTAATTCATATATTTTCATTTAGTAGAGTGTAATAACAGGTGGGTTTTGTAGTATTCAAATATCTTCTTTATGCCTTACCCTCTCCTCTCTTTTATCCCTCCAGTCGTCCTCCAAAGATCCAGCCCCCTCCGATGTCTTTTCTGACATTCCCAGAAACGCATAGTCCTCCTCTTTACACAAACCTCTCATTGACTAGAACCAGAAAAGCAACTATTCATCAAATCTGATACTTGTTTACATGTTACTCTTAGATTTAAATTGCCTTGAGCCCTTGACTCAACTGCATGTATGAACCGTGTCCACCAAAGTAGATTTAATGTGACTTTTATGATAATGATCAACATAAAAAAACAGTTTAATATCAAAGTGAAATCAGATCTCTACAAAGTGATCTAAATGAATTACAAATGTAAAACACAATGTTACACCCCTTATATAGGACACACCCACATCATTACTGGTGCAGCAATTTTTAGAAGTCAGTGTATTCATCTGTATCTGAAAGGCCCAACATTTGGTGGCAAAACCTCCACCATGAAGACTAAAGCAACTCAGTGAAAATATGATTAAAAAGCAGAAGTCAGGGGACGGATACAAGAAAATTACATGGTCATTGAACAGCCCGTGACGTACAGTTCAATTAATCTTGGAAAGAGTATGGGCACAGCGAGTAAATCTGCCCAGAGCAAGCCGTCCTCAAATACTGAGTGGGCGTGCAAGAAGGAGATTAGTGAGGGAGGACACCAACAGACAGCTGTGAAGGAGCTGAAAGGTTCAGAGGCGGAGACTGGAGAGGCCAGGTGCTTCACCAGTAGCAGCTTTATGGCAGTGGCAAAGACAAAGCCACTCTTAAAAAACCCACATGACATCAGCTGCAGTTTCCCAGACAGCTGGAGGAAGCCTCTGTGGTCTGATGAAGCCCATTTATTTCCTTTTTAGCTATCATACTGAACGCCAAATACTGTCCATCATCATAAATATATTGGAGAATTCACAGTGCGAAGCATGGAGGAGGCAGCATCATGCTGTGGGGATGCTTCTCTGCAGCAACCCCTGGAAGGCTTAAGTGGGTGGAGGTTAAAATGAATTCAGCTAAATACAGGGAAGTCCTGGATGACAAGCCAAAGTTACACCGGAATGGCTTCAAAACAACAATGTTTATGTCCTGGGCTGGCTGAGTCAGAGTCCAGATCTCAATCCATTTGAGAATTTCTGGCTGGACTTAAACAGCTGTCTAACTCACAATCCACATGCAGCCTGACAAAGCTTTAGCAAATAAGAAAAGGGGGAAATTGCAGTGTCCAGATGTACAAAAGTGTTTTATGTTCTTAATGAATTTAGATCACTTTGTAGATATCTGAAAAATGAAAATGTCCAAGCGAGGAGAATCATTTTCAGAGGCACATTGATACTGTATATGAAAATGATGCCTAACTTTCAAAGAGGGAGATTGTATTTGAGTGGAAATGCAGAAGAGTCACAAATTCAGAAGAAAGGAAAAACGTTTATAATATAATAATATTTCTTCTCAGTCACCAATTTGCCCAAATTACAAAACACAGATGTGAAACAAATCCACTGTAGAAGTACTTTACTTTTTTACTGACGTTCTTTTGTTGGCTCTTTTTGGAAAAAAGTAATTGTTTGGTTCCACTGAATCATATCCGAGGAAGAATCGTCTGCCAGAGTTATGTGGGTTCAACAAGGAACAATTACATTAAGGAACTTGCAAAATGGCATGTCACTGCGTGCTGAAGCTGTTTTAATAACGGAAATCCTATCCCCTTGTCTTTACAGTCATGATGCTCTTTTGATTCCAGCAGTTCATGTTGTACCTTTGACATGGGAATTCCTTGAAACCTTTTCACATGAGTCATCTTAGTCCAGGACGGGTCTGCTGCTCATGACACACAGACATTCATAGTTTAATTTATGAAGTCTGACTGATTTTGAGGCATTTGCGTCACATGTTCTAAAGCTATTTCATTTTTTATTAACAAAAATGCAATCAGATTTGTAGTATTTGGATGGAAAATAAGCTTGAATTAGGTCAGACTAATTAAAAAATGTACACAATTTAAAGCCAATTACTCACCTGTAGGTCAACACTGACTGTGTACTCTCACACCTGTCACACACTGCTTACTTTCCGCTGTGTGCTGATCACTTGTTCTTCACTCTGATTGTTTCCTCTCTTGTTTAATTTCTTATAACCACAGACGTGTCCTGCCTCCTTCTCTGACTGAGAGTCCAACGGAACGTTTCTGATCAACTATAGAGGTTCTTATACAGTGACGGCACGCAGCTTACATGCTAGTTATTTCCACAGTACAGTGATAGAAGTGCCACTGTCACACTAATAAAGACTCATGAAGTCAGAATAGCATAATGGATAGTCCTGAAGCTTTTTTGATTGGGTGAGATCAGTCGGAGGCCTCAGGATACTGTATCTCAACAAATACCAATACCAATATGCCACACACAGTAGGTGTTGTGTGTCACCTGAATATTGATGTGCTAGCCCTAAAATAATTTTGTCAGTCTGGGTTTTAGTGGTGTAAGGGTATGTTATATTATGCTGTTTTACATCCAGAAAAGAACAAAATTTCTCTGGAACAGTAAATACTTTAAAGCAGCAGTTTGACACACAAATGAGAAAATACCACTCTCTAGTCTATACGTAAATATGGGACTACAGCTGGAAGCCAGTTAGCTTAGCTTAGCAAACAGTAGAAACAAGCTGTGGTTGGAGGGGTTGGTGTATGTTTTTGTGTGGACTGATCATGGGAGTTATAACATTTTTATTAGAGAGCTTTAGAGGTGCTTATAGGCAGATTGCTATCTTTGGAATATGCCAGGCAAACTGTTTCCAGTGTTTGTTTTTTTTTGGAAATTTGCTTTTGTATTATAAACACATGTCAACACAGCTCCCTTTGCAGGGTTGCACCAATCCTTGTTAGCATTGTGAAAATGCAGCTCCAGTTTTATTTACAACCCAGTTTCTGCAGCTGCATTTCCCCTCTGGGATCAATAAAGTTCATCCCGTCCTCTTATCTTAATTAACAGTACTTTCAGCAGACTGCTAATAAGGACCCAGGCAGCCACATCAGCTGCTGTTGTGATGGATGTAGGGTAGATGTTCAGAGTGTTTCCAGCGTACTCACTCTGTCACAGTTTTGACACATTTATGAAAAACAGGTCTGGGAGCTGTTATCGTGCTGCTGGATCAGATCTGATCACCAGGCCTGACCGAGAGAAGTCAAAGCAGAGTGAAGGCGGATAGCTGACTTTCTGTTTAGGGTAGTATGAATGAGAAAACCCAGTATATAGTATGACTGTGAATTGATCAAAGTGGTGTGTGTGCAAAGGATCAAAAGAAGGTGTGTTTTGTGTACAGTATGTTCTTTATGAGGTGCAACATTTTCATCTTCCCAGTGTAGAATAATGTATGTTAACCTGACTGTAGCTATAAATCGTTTTTTATCTGTTGTTAACCCCAAGTTATTCTCATATTGAGAAATCACAGACCTCTGGCAGGCCTGGAAACCCTACGAATAATGTCCTCTGTAGTGTGTGTGTAAATTAAAGCCACACTGTGACATTCAAAATATGGTGAGAACATTTAGTTAGTAAATCAAATATGTAATGATGTTGTAGTACTTTTAACTGTCAAACATCCCTGATGATCTAACTTAGACTGAACAACATTATGTACACATCTGCAAACAATTCCTGAAAACACAGCATCAAGTTTGGTCACAACATGCAGATGCAATGAGCAGGAAATCATCTACGAAGGTAGTTAGAAGTAAAACTGACTTGAAGTCTGAAACCACAAAGAGCACTTGTGGCGTCCATATGTTTTTAAAAACTCTGGACTGGAACACCCACGCTCGCTCTGAGAGTTGATCTACTATCCCACATCATTTCACACCTTCTGTACGTTTAGCACCTTCAGAACGAGCAACAAGCTGTCGTCTTTGACCTTTGGTCCCTGAACATCCCTGACATCCCTGACATCACTCATCAGCCTGCTCCTAACAGGAAACAGCTCTGGCCTTTAAATGCTTCTCCCAGCAAAACAACTCCATAAACAGCAATTGTACAGGTGATATTTTAAAATCGGAGTGACTCATTACAGGTTATACAGCTCATATGCAATGATATGCATCTTGTCGCAAATAGTTCACATTGCACATAATATGGTGTTGAGCTCCATGTATGGCCTTTCTATTCAGTCACTGTCATTACTACCCCCTTGGACTCATTCATGCCACTGCAATCCCTTTTTAATAACACATCTCTTCACATGGTCTTTTTTGGGCATGTGGGTTAAAAAATGCAGAGATCTTCAGCTTTGGCTTCATCTTCTGTTTCCTCTTTAACTTCTGCTGCATCTATACACTTCTGCAAACTTCAAGTTCCAGCAACAGAATGGATGCCCTGACTTTTGATACACATTTGAGTAACACAGTGTGAAAATTCCTTTGGCTAACTATCAGTCACAAGATTGGCTGTGTATTTTGAAAGGAAAATTACTTTTGGCTCAAGTCCCACTTTCCATCCATCGTTATTTGACCATCTTTGTCACTGTCGCAGCAGGATAAGCAAGGTACCACAGAAGTCCTTCTACTCATTCCACATCCTCCTAGATTCTCCTGGGGGATCCCAAGACATTCAGGACTGTCTGCAATTGCCCTAAAATAACACATGTTTACGTTCAATCAACAAAGCCCACTAGCAGCCAAAGTAATTATGACTCTTGTCCGTCTGGTATTTTGGAGGACTTGTTGAGCAATTCCTAGGCATGCTACTTCTTTTCAGTTGGCATGCCTGGAAAACCTCTAAAGAGAGGTATCTAGGAACCTCCTTTCAACACAAAGGAGCCGCAGCTCTATCCCAAGAGCCCTTCGGATATCTGAGCTCTTTACCTTAACTCTGAGACTCTGAGTGCAGCTACCCTCCGGAGGAAAATCATTTCAGGTCTCCTGTAGCCGCAATGTCATTCTTTCTATGACCATATGCCATATTCTTATGACCATATCTGAGGTTTGGAATGTAGATGTAGTATGACACCTGCATTACTCCTGACACCGCACCAATCAATCTGTCGATCTTGCACATCTTAACAAGACTCTGAGACTCCTTCACTCGGGAAGCAATTCAACGTATGCGAGGCCACTGATTC